AAGCTTATTCTTGATAAGTAAGACCCCCCATAGACTCCATATATATAGTTTCTGTATAGTGTCCAGATGTTCACATGGTGATGTGAATGTAATTCTTGTGGTCTTTATCTACCCATACCAGCATCCATTGAAATGCCAGATACTTAACTATGCAGATTATTACCAAGTCTTACTATTTTTCTTTACCTTAAGCTCTCTCTCTCTTTTGTATTTCATTATGATTTTATTTGGGGCTTTCTAGGTAGTAAAGAATCTGCCTACCAATGCTGGAGCCACAGGAGACATAGCAGGAGATCCGTGGGTCAGAAGTTACCTTGGAGTAGGAGATGGCAACCCACTCCAATATTCCTGCCTGGGAAATCCAAAGGAAAGAGGAGACTGGACAACTACAGTCCAAGGGGTCGCAAAGAGTTGTCCACATCTGATCATGCATGTGTATTTTATTTAAAAAATTTTATTGAATTATAGTTGATTTACAACATTGTGTTTAATTTCTTCTGTGCAGCCAGCTGACTCAGTTACACACACACACACACACACACACACACACACACACACACACACACACACACACAAACACACATTCTTTTTCATAGTCTTTTCCATTATGGTTTGTCACAAGATATTGAATATAGTTCCCTGTGCTATACAGTAGGACCTTTTTGTTTATCCATCTGGGGATGCTTTGCATCTGCTAATCCCAAACTCCCAGTCCTTCCCTCCCCTGACCCCTTTCCCTTGGTAACCACAAATCAGTATTTGTGAGTCTGTTTTTCACAGATATGTTCATTTGGGTCATATTTTAGAGTCCATATATAAGTGATATAGTATAGTGTTAATATTTGTCTTTCTCTTTCTGACTTACTTTGCTTACTATGGTAATCTCTAGGTCCATCCATGTTGCTGTAAATGCCATTATTTCATTCTTTTTAGTGGCTGAGTAATATCCCAGTGTGTGCGTGAGTGTGTGTGAGTGTGTATGAGTGTGTGTGTGTGTGTGTGTGTGCACCACATCTTCTTTATCCTTTCATCTGTCAGTGGACATTTAGATTGTTTCCATATCTTGGCTCTTGTGGATAGAGCAGCTGTGTATGCTGGGGTGCATGTGTCTTTTTTAATTATGATTTTGTCTGGGCATATACCCAGGAGTGGGATTGCTGAATTATATGGCAACTCTGATTTTAGTTTTTTGAGGAACTTCCATACTGTTTTTCATAGTGGCTGTGCTAGTTTACATTCTGAACAGAGTAGGAGGGTTCCCTTTTCTCCACACCCTCTCCAGCATATGTTATTTGCAGACTTTTAAATGATGGCCATTCTGACTGATGTGAGGTGGTACCTCATTGCTGTTTTGATTTGCAGTTCTCTAATAATTAACTATGATGAGCATCTTTTCATGTGCTTATTGGCCATCTGTATATCTGCTTTGGAGAAATGTCTGTTTAGTTGATCTTAAGGCCTGGAGGGCTACAGTCCATGGGGTTGCAAGAGTCAGACAGGACTGAGAGATTAAACCACCAAGGTCTCTTTACAGATCTGTTTTCTCTCAGCCACTCCTGTGGCTCTTTGTGGGGGGCAAATACAATGAGGCTGCCTCAGACTGTTTGCCTAAACATGTAGTCCCTGCCCCCACGCTGAGTTCTATCTGGGAATGCGGGCATTGATTCTGTTCTTCTCACATCCCTCTAGCTGATCTGAGGCTCTCTCTTTCCCCTTCCTCACTGGGGCTCAATCTTAGGTGAATGAGGAGAGGCAGTCAAAGTTTATGGGGTCCCTTCTTAGGAGCTGTGATAAGCGCAGATATTTTTAGCTTCAAATAAAAGAAATCCTAACCAACAGTGGTTTAAACAATTGATTATCTCATACAAGAGGTCCAGAGACACAGGCCAGGACTGGCATAGCAGCTTCACTATATAACCAGGAATTCATCTTGTCATACTTCCATTTTGTTACCCTTAGCTGTTAGCTTTTGCTACTGTGTTTGTCACCATTGTGCTTGTCGTGTTCACTCAATGACTGGCACACCTCAAGGTATCATAATACAATGCCATATAGTTTGTCCAAAGGGGGAAGGGCTATATGAGGTACAAGAAATTATGGGGGAAGTCCCCTATAAATATAAAATTTATCTCACCATAGTTACAAATCCATAGAAAGCCACGCAAATTAGGCCAAGGCAGGAAGAGAATTTGTTGGAAGATATAAGTATATCTCATGGACCTAAGGATAGGAAGTATAGCTGAACTTTACGGTGGACTAGAAGCAGGAACCAGAAAACTTATGAACCAGTACAGCTGTCCTCCCTTCCTTCTCTGGACATATGATCTCTTATTGTCTGCTTTATTTTTCTTTCTTGGCATTGGCTTTTTCTATTTCTCTGTGTAAAAACTAGAAAATGATCACTTTGGTCATACCAGTTCAAATGCAAACTAAGACTGAGTAGCATCTCTTATGTTTTAAGTTCTTTGGGGAAAGAATATGACTGGCCCAATCTTTAATCCAATTTGTGACCATGGGGATGGGTCAAATGACTTAGCAGTTCTTAGGAGCTGAACAAGAATACTCTTTTGAGAAGGGGCCATGGGTGTATATGTGTCTGTGTGGCAGTAGTTACTGAAGAAGAAATAACAGGAGTGGGTTGCCATTCCCTTCTCCAGAGAATCTTCTGGACCCAGGGATCGAACCTCAGTCTCCTACATTGCAGACAGATTCTTTACTGTCTGAGCCACCAGAAAAGTGGGCGGGGAAGCCACTTTCCACAAGGAAAGCCCAATCTGAGGAAAGATAAATCAAAATAACCATTCATTCATTCTATAGACATTGGTCTCAGTTTTTTTCCTCATGTTTCCTTTCAGAGAGTGTCAGTACCATTTATGTAGTTGCCCACATTATTAATTCTATACCACCAATAAGCATCACAGTAGCTAATATTCATTGAATATTGTACTATGTGATAGGCATTCTATGTACATTATTTTAAGTTCAATCTCAGAACAACTACAAATAAGTATTATCTATTTTGTAGATAAGCAAAGTGAATTTAGAAATGTTAAGTCAAGATTTCAACATCTCTTTTGGATTTCTGTAGTAACCTGCCATCTCCCTGCCTCTGTTATGGCCTCTCCAATTCTTTTTCTGCCTGACAGTCATAGTGGTATTTCTAAAACACAACAGATTTGTTATGTTTGATCATGCTACTTTCCTGCTTAAAATCCCTATAAGGTTCCCTCAAGATAAAGTCCAAATTCCTTCACAGGATGTATAAAACCTTTTATGATCTGGGCAGTCTTTACCTTACCAACCTCTAGCCTCATCTCTTTCAGTCTTGTACCTCACAGTCTATCCTCAAGCCACGCAGATTATTTGCAGTTCATAACAATTCATTTCTTTCCTCTGCACAACAACCCTGTAGTCGTTATCCCACAGACTCCTACACATTACCCATAGTCAGGATTCGACTTAGATGTTACCCTATTCAGAGGCCTTTTCTGATTGAATTTGGTACTCCTTTATACTTTTGTATCACTCAGTGATTTTCTCTTATGCTTATCAAACCATGCTGTAATTGTATGTCAACTTATTCTGTCTCTTGCATTGGATTGTAAAGTCTTTGAGTAGGAAGATGAAGTATAGTTTAGTTTTGAAAACCCTAAGATTCGGTTAGTGCTTGGTGCATATTTGTTGCTCAATAAATATTTGTTAAATGAATGAATCTGGGAGAAGTCTGGAAGAACTTACAAAGTTACCTGAAGAGAAACAGATATTTAGCATTTCTTGTTTGGTAAATGAATTATTCTGACAGCTATTTCTCCTTAACTGTATTCTTTTGGCTTATAATTTATAAAAATTGAGCAGATACAAATTTAAAAATTGAGAAAATTAATCATAAAAACATATCACAAATAATAAAATAAGAAAGTGATATAAAACAGTAACCTAGGAGTGTTAAACTTAATGTAAGATAAAGAAGACTGAAGGAAGTAACAAAGTTTGAGACTGGGGAAGAAAAAGCAAGGAATTGAATTTTTTTCAGCACCTTCTAAATTGAATGGATTTTTCCCCGGTAATATCTGATTTAATTCTTAGAATAATTCTTTGAGGTTGCTATGCTACAGCTGCATTAAAACTAAGGAAATTAAAGATCAGAGTAAAATAAACTGAATGATTGATTATACAATAAACTTTCTACAGATAGAAAGCAAATGAAACAAAACTCAACCATAGAAAATGTGGGGTATATGTGAGGGTAAATCACCCTACATCCTAAATGATCATTTTGTTGGGTTTTTGTATCAGCTTTGCAGCTTTCTTTCCTAAAGTGATTTCCTTCACTCTCATCTGCTTTGACTGTATGGATACATCCTTCCTTTTACCAGGATAAATTCCATCTCCTCCTTCAAGCTTTGTCTCACTCAAGTTGCTTCTTGAGTGAAATTTGCTTCATTAGACCTGTTTTTTTATTTAGCTAAACTTTTCCGAGCCTAGCAAAGCACCCTGACTTCTCTTTCAGAGAATTATCAGCACACAGCAGTAAAAACCAACACAAAAGAGACTATTACTATAGATCGCTCAGGAGAAAAGAAATCCTTAATAGTGGCAGTGTTTAAGTGACTATATTCTGCGCTGTGAGAACACCTGGAGTCATTTTTAACTTCCACCACTCCTACTTCTTAGTCGGGTCAGTTTTCTAAACTTTCGAAGTCTGTTTTCGTATCTACGAAAAGAGGATCGTAGTTAAGAGTCTCCTACCTACATACTTCAGAACTTCTGTGAGGAGCAAATCGGAGGACACACGTGAAAATATTTCACAGACATTTGGTAAAACGCTACAAATTGTTTGTACCTGGCTACAGATGAGACAACGACAAGTTACGTTCCTGGGCTAAAGAAACTCAGCGGCTAGTCGCTAGGGAATGGAAGTCGAGCGTTGCTACGTGACGTCATCACTCCGCGCCGTACGCGACGGTTTCCGGATTGGGCTTCAGGCAGTATTCCGCGTCATGGGGGTTTGGCTGCGTTTGCTGGTGTCTGGTGGAGGGTCGCTTCGGGGCTGCGGCGGGGCCTGTGTCCCGCTTGGGGGAAGCCGACTACTGATTTGTCGGCGCCAGGTCCGTGGTGCTGCAGGGCAGGTGCAGGCGGGCGGGTCGGAGATCTGGGGCGCCAGGGCGGCAGGTTCTCTGCAGGTGCAATTGCCTCTTGCCAAGGACTCACTTCAGTCCCTCTTGGGCCCCCTCCCCGCTCAGTGAGACCCCAGTTGTCTGGATGTGCCTTTCCAGGCAGGCCCCCAGTAGGACCAGGGCGAGGCATAGAGGGATGTGAAATAGACGGTTAGAACGTGGATGTGTGACTTGCACGTGCTTTCTTAGTGTTAAGTTTATTTAGAAAATAGGTTAAAGAGAAGGAAAACGCGTGGGGGATTTAACTCCGTAAAGAGGGAGATTACTTACTTTCCATTTTTAACGCTTGGCAAATAAATTTCAACTTAAACAATTTGTCTCTGCAGTTGTGATCAACAGCTATTTGTAAATAACACTAAAGGCCTAACTAATGGAAATGAGCAGAATTAATAGAAAAGAAAGACCTGTTAATCGCAAATACTCAATTGTTTAACCGCGTAATAATGGAGATAGCTTATTTTAAAACTGTTTTTTCTTCTTCTCAAGTTCTCTGGCGCTGAGAGTGAGGCCCTAAAACAAAGAAGATCACAAATCATGTCTCGAGGACTTCCAAAGCAGAAACCGATAGAAGGTGTTAAACAAGTTATAGTTGTGGCTTCTGGAAAGGGTGGAGTTGGAAAGTCTACTACAGCAGGTACTATAGGATATTCTCATTTTGAGTAGAATTTTAGACCAACTGGCAAGTGCACAATATTAAAATTATAGTTTTGTTCTTGAAAAAGTATTTGTGAAGTTTCTAATACCTGGTTCCTTAGTATGAGGAGCTGGTAGTGATTGAGGGCTTAGATTTTGGAGTTAGGCAGAACTAGATATGTTGCCAGGTCTTTGACTCCTTAACTGAGGAAAAGGTAGTCAGGTTGCCCATCAGATCTTCAGTTTACTTAACTGTAAAGTGACAGTGATGATAATCTTTTTCATAGAGTGGTCATGCAAATTAAACAAGTTAACCACTTAGCCCCCTGTCTCCTACATAGAAGTACTCAATGTTTGGTTGTTGTTATTATTTTTAAAACATTTAGTAAGCTTGATACTAAATTTATTTTTTTAATACTAAATTTATTTGTTTTTTTTGCATTCTTTTCTAGTCTTTTTCAGTGTACATTTAGCTAAGTAGTTGCAATGAGATTGTTTACATTATTGTGACCTGTTTTCATTTAATCATAACAGTTTTTCAGCATTTTTAAGTCAAAATAGATCTAATATTTTGAAAATCTTTTAATTATTTAAAACATTTAATCTTTAGATCTTTATATTAATACTGGAACAGAGATTTTTTTTTTTGGTGGAGTTTGCAAGTTGATTATAGATTTTATTGTGACTGAAATGCTGCATTCAGAACCCATAAAAGAAGTCCCGCTAGAAATGTAAGATGTACCATCCAGGACTAATGAACAGGTATTCCCAATTTTTTTCAAAATAAACTTTTTATTTCTAAAAAAAAATTTCAGTATAATAATGTAAAAAGGTAGTTCCCCTTCTTCCAGTTCAACAGAGGCAACTTGTATTATCAATTTGAAGTCATAAATCTCTCAAGTTTTGTTGCATTACTTAAAATTTTCAGTCATTTTAATAGCAATGGCTTAATTCAGATCTTACCCAATCTATCCTTTTTGCAGTTGATTAAAAAAATAACTATCCTTATTATATTTCATTTTGTTAGTTTTGACATAGTTCCTCACTATTAAGATCTTGTATATATTCATGTATTTGTTTTCAGCTTTTAACTCAAATTTCTGCATTTTTTCAAATTGAAATGTAGCTGATGTACAGTATTATGTAAGTTCCAGGTATATGGCATAGTTCACAATTTTTAAAGATTATATTCCATTTATGGTTATTATAAAATACTGGATCTAATCCTTGTGTTGTATAATATATCCTTGTAGCTTATTTATTTTATAATAGTAGTTTGTACCTCTTAATTCCCTACTCCATCTTGTATCTCCTCCCTAAGACCTGTAAAGTTTTTTTTTTCTCAGATATCAATCTAAACTTGGGGCATATATGTACCTTAAAATTACTTAATTCCTTTGAAACTAATGACATTTTGAAATAAAAAGGGTCAGGTACAGAGTTCTGTGACTTTCACTAGCGATCCTGTGTCTTGGCTCAAAGCCATATTTGGTAATTCCTGGATATAGCAGTTCTGTAGTTGTATAACCAGCTATAGATCCAACTATATAGTGTTATTAGCTTAGTTCCCCCTCCCCCCCCATTTTGACCAGAATGTATCGTGGAAGAGTTTTTCAGATATTTTGAAGAAATTAAGATTTAACAAGTATTGTAGTTATGATAGGCTCCCACTATACTGTTTGATAGATACCATATTGTTATTAAAAATGGTTAGTGATTGTTTTTAATGAATTTATGCTGTATCCTACACACTTTTGCTTTCTTTCCTAAGGACGTACAATCTATCTATTTAATATTTTGTTTTTAAAATTTGGAAGCTCTTAGTTTTCAATTCTAGAATCCATCTCTACTTGTGTTTTGAAAATTAAGGTTTCCAAAAAAAATACCTGTTTTCAGTGGTGTGAATCCCTTTGCAGGCTCTGTGTTTGCTTGGATTGGTTAAAGATGGAAGGTGTTTTCATGGTAATAGCCACAAGTTCTTTGGGTTTTGTGCAATATAATTTGTCAAATCTGTAGGCTAGCACTTGTTTAAAACAAATTTATTTATTGTTTTTGGTTATAAGATCTTCTAATGCCATGGGCTGTGTCAGCATTTAGACAGGAAAGTATATGAGAAAATGTTCAGTGTGTGACATATATGTGCTTTAGTAAGCATCCCTTTCTTGCTTTTCATCTTTGTTAGCACCATACTATCTATCTCAAATAATTGATCTATACTTTTTCATAACTGCTTTCTCTGCTTTAGAAATAGATTATTTCTGCATAACTCTGTCAGCTTATATTTCTTTCCCTTATACATATTTATTCCAATTCCAAACTATCTCAAAATATTTCCCGTCTGCTTTGTGTGCTAGAAATATTTTGGATTAGAATGAGGACATTTGATTGATGCAAACATGCTCTTAGATTCTATTGTGTAAATGGAGAAAGATCCTCATATTGAAATGAATTACTCTGCCTTAGAGTTGGATTATGTTTAACCTACAGCATACCTGAAATTCAGAATTATTTTATAATTTATGATTTAATTATTAAATCAAATATTAAATATTAATAATGATTTAATAATGAATTGTCAAGTGCCATTCCCTAGGCTGAGTACTTTACACTTAGAATTTGATTTGATTCTCACAACAGTTATGAAATAGGACCTCATTTTATCGAGGAGGAAACATACTTGGGGGTAAAAATACTCAAGATTATAAAACACAGAGTGGGGACACTGGGGTTTGAACCAGGTCTGCCTTGAGAGTTTATGCTCTTAAATACTTCAAAAGAAACAGTATCAGCATCATCTAGAACATTGTCTGGTAAGGAATGGTGATCCACAGTATGTGGGTCTGTTTATCAGTTTGGGAATGTATTTCTTTTGGACCTCTTTCTCATCTCAGGTGTAGCATATCTTTCTTGCTGGGTTAACGGTGGTTTTGGGGCCTACTGCTTTCCCCGTTTATGTCTGAGATTCACTATTAGTAGGCACTTTTGACAAAATGTTTCACTGTCTTACCTTTTTACCTTTTTCCCTTCCCTCTCCTCATTGGTCCAAGCTTTCATTTATGTAGGTTTTTGTGAATTAGATTATTTGGAATTCCTGTATTACCAGCATTTATTTTTAAAAAACAACAGGATCAGCTGCATTTTTATTTATTAAAAAGTAATTTTTCTGCAAAGTATTTTTTGAAAATAATTGAATTATATATACATTAATATGATTAAAACATTTAATATATTATTTAAACATACACTAAAGGGATTATTTAAAGTTTTGAGACAGGCATCTATTGCTTATGCTGAAATGTTACTTTCCTTTTTGTCTTTTTTACTTTCTATGGTCTCTCCATGTCCTTGTTTATTTTTTTAATAAAGGATTTATATTAAAATTTTATTTGCTTTGGTTATTACATTGAAAATATTAAAAGGCAAAATGAATTCTGGTAGAAGGAAAGTTACTAAGTTTAATTACTTTTTTGTTTCTTACAGTGAACCTTGCACTTGCTCTAGCAGCGAATGATTCGGTAGGTATTTATTAATAGAACTACTAATTTATTAACATATTTTTAAGTCAATGATTTAGAGCATACTGATGTTTTCCATTTACTCTATCAGGGGCTGTATATTGTAGCTCTAGTTATTTGCATGTCTTTAAGGGGCTAAAAAATCTGCCATAAGTACTGGTTACATTTAATAATGGTGATGAAAATGGAGGGGATTGCTGGTCAAGGAATTCAGGTAGCCTCTAGAAGTTAGAGAAGGCAAGAAATGTGTTTTTTTCCTTAGAGCCTCCCAAAGGTATGTCATTGTGTCAGCACCTAAATTCTAGTTCATTGAAACCCATTTGAATTTCTGTGATAATTTTTTACAGTAAAAGTAGTCAACTGATACAGGAAGTCAGTTTTCTTTGTCCTTAAATTTCCAACAGTGTCTTTATTTTACCTTCATATTTGCTAATTTGACTAGATGTAGAATTCTAGGTTCACATAATTTACTCTCTGAACCTTGAAAACAGCGTTCCATTTTCTTCTAACATGCTAATAAGAGTCTGATGATAGTCTGATTCATACTGCTTTGTAATAACCTGTGTTTTTCCCCTTAAGGCTTTTATGAGTTTCCTTTATGTCTTTTAAGTTTAGAAATGTCACAGATATGTGTCTGGTTGTTGGCATTACTTTTTTTTTCTTTTTTTACCTGTTTGGAAATTGGGCAAGCAGTACAAGGCTTGAGTATTTTTCAGCTTAGGGAAGATTTCCTCATTATTTTTTGTGATGTGCTTATTCTCTCTCCAGAAATCTATTAGGTAGATATTGACTGTTTATGCTTGTTAATTTTTCTTTCATATTTTCCATCTCTTTGTCTTTTGCTCTGTGTTTTGAAAGATGTCTTATGCTATTTTCCACACTGCTATATTAGGTTGTGGTTGTTATTTAGCCCTTTTTATTTTTATTTTTAATTTGGAAATTATATTTTTTCTAATTTTTCAGAACTGTTTCCCTATTTTGCAGTTGCTTTTCCTGATCACTTAAAAAAATGGTTGTACCATTAGTTTGAGTCTCTCTGAAGATGCTAATTAGAATTAATAAAAAAGGTTCCATTTAATGATCTCTATTTACTTAGCGTGGTGGTTCTTATAATGTGGTCCTCTGACCAGCACAATGAGCATCACCTGGGAACTTGTTAAACACATAAAATCTTGAGCCCCAGACCTACTAAATCAGAAACCCTGATTTAGGTGGAGTCCTACAGTTTGTGTTTTAACCAGTCCTCTAGATGATTTTGATGCATGCTAAAGTTTGAGAACCATACATCTAGAATTTTTTAGAACTCTAAATTGCTAATGCACCCTTTTTGTTTTCTTGTGTGATTGTTTTTAATTTGGTTTTAAACTTTTTTGTTTGTTTGTTTCAATTCGAATTTGGAATAGAAGAGAGATACTCTGTATGGTTAGGCAACTTTATTGAAATAAAAGCCAGTACTACTTTTTAAAGAATACTTTTTATTAAAGCACTTAATTACCTTGAAGAAAGGACCCCATCTTTCTTAAATTAGGGAGGGCTGGTTATACCCTGATTCATTCCCATGGAGTCTTAATTCCATGGAGCTTGTGTTGTAAGAGGTGTCTCTGACCTGCTTACCCTTTAAGCCAACTTTGCCCAAGACCTTGCTAACTGTTTTCTCCTTTCTTCCTTGGGTTGTCCTTTTTCAGCATCGCAGTGGGAAGATCTAATAAGACTTGTTTGTTGGCCTGGAGGAAATAGATCCAGGAAGTGATTCATTTTACTTGCAATGTTGGTCTTAATAATCTCTATAAACAGGGTTATATAAACCCTAGGGGATATGTAGGATAGTCATTGGGATGTGGAATTTTTCTTTATTTGTATGAATTTTTATCTTTTAAAATTTAAGTTTTTTGTATATGCTTTATAATTTATAGTAAATTAGTATAGTGGCTCTAATAAAGTCTCCAAGGAAGACATACAGATGGCTAACAAACACATGAAAAGATGCTCAACATCACTCATTATCAGAGAAATGCAAATCAAAACCACAATGAGGTGCCATTACACACCAGTCAGGATGGCTGCTATCCAAAAGTCTACAAGCAATAAATGCTGGAGAGGGTGTGGAGAAAAGGGAACCCTCTTACACTGTTGGTGGGAATGCAAATTAGTACAGCCACTATGGAAAACAGTGTGGAGATTTCTTAAAAAACTGGAATTAGAACTGCCATATGACCCAGCAATCCCACTTCTGGGCATACACACTGAGGAAACCAGATCTGAAAGAGACACGTGCACCCCAATGTTCATCGCAGCACTGTTTATAATAGCCAGGACATGGAAGCAACCTAGATGCCCATCAGCAGACGAATGGATAAGGAAGCTGTTGTACATATACACCATGGAATATTACTCAGCCATTAAAAAGAATTCATTTGAATCAGTTCTAATGAGATGGATGAAACTGGAGCCCATTATACAGAGCGAAGTAAGCCAGAAAGATAAAGACCATTACAGTATACTAACACATATATATGGAATTTAGAAAGATGGTAACGATAACCCTGTATGCAAAACAGAAAAAGAGACTCCGATGTATAGAACAGACTTGTGGACTCTGGGAGAAGGCGAGGGTGGGATGTTTCAAGAGAACAGCATCGAAACACGTATATTATCTAGGGTGAAACAGATCACCAGCCCAGGTTGGGTGCATGAGACAAGTGCTCGGGCCTGGTGCACTGGGAAGACCCAGAGGGATCGGGTGGAGAGGGAGGTGGGAGGGGGGACCGGGATGGGGAATACATGTATATCCATGGCTAATTCATCTCAATGTATGACAAAAACCACTGCAATGATGTAAAGTAATTAGCCTCCAAATAATAAAAATAAATGAAAAAAAAAAAAGTCAACAGATATATTAACATGTATTGAGGTTGTATACTTGAACATTTTTCACCAGGTGGGAAACATGGTCAAGACAGTTTGGTTGTCACTGGCCAAGGCAAAAGAAAATTTCTGAGCTGGATCATTTACCAGTTCAAAAGAAGACTACTTTATAGATGGAAATAAAAGCCTTATAGGAGTAGGGTGTGAATTTTCCCTGCCTTTTCTTTGCCTTTCGTACTTTCCTTTGGGGATGCAGAAGGTAGTGTTACAGGGCAGAATTTGGAATCCTGTCATGTGCACCGTGCATTTTAAATATTCAATCCTGTGGTATATTGGAGCTGGCTCATGCTAGTTGTGAGAACTGATTGTTAAATTTGCAAGAATTTTGCAGTTGATATCCTGTTTTTAGCTCAAAATAGGCCACGGTGGGAGTATTTAATGAAAATTGACAAATACTGAACATTAGACTTCCCACCTCACCCTGGGCCACTGTTAAACATTTTCTGTCACAACAGTGATTATACATATTACCAATCATATATTTCGGTCTTTCTTGTTTCTATCTTCTTAACCACTTTTATTGTGGATCTCATTCTTCTACAGTATAAATTTAGTGAACAGAGAAGCACTGAAACTGGAGAGGGGAAGGTAAAGGTCACCAGAAACCAGTGATGAGCTCTGTGATGTTCCTAAACCAGTTCATTTCAGTTCATTTTAGTTCAGCAGACATTTAGTGAGCACCTCTAACACTCACTTTCAGACACAACGAGTATGGGTATATAAAGAAAAGTAAACATGCCTATAAAGACTGCATTAACAAAACTGTTTTGTGTGTGTATATATAATTACATAAGTGTATATATGTCTTTTTGTGTATGTGTGTGTCTGTTTTGGTGATGGTAATTGTTTCAGTTCAGTAATCATTTCTTCTGTGAGTGAGAAAGTGTGCTTAAAGCAACACTTAATAAGGTTTTATCGTAATTTGTTTCAGAGTAGGCACACTGTGCACTCTTAAAGGTTTTATAATCTAGTGAAGACAAGAGGAAGATAAATGTCTTAAAATGATGAACTGTGTCCAAGGTCAAATATAGTAGTGTTTCTGTCCAAGACAACTAGCTTTTATTTCAGAGAAAAGCCGTCTTTTTTTCATAGAGTATTTTTGTGAACATAATTATATTTGCCTTTCACACAAACCTATAATGCAGTACACTTAGTACTTATCAGTTTTACAGTCTTTATTGATTCTGCCCTATCTTTGTCACATTTCATCAGCCAGCAAATGTCCTTTTTTGTCTGCAATATTTTTCCAGTATATATCTTTCTCTTTTCACTGTTCCCACTCTAATTAAGCCTCATATTACTTCTTTTTGGCTCATTCATTCATGTATACCTCAAACAGTTACAGAGTGCCTACCCTTCCTCAAGAACTTTGCTACTTTGGAGAATATAGAAATGCATGAAATACAGCCCCTGCCTTTAAGGGCCTCCCAGACTAGGAGACTGCTGCAAGCACCTCTTACCTGTCCAAGCACAAATCCATTCAGTACATAATGCCAGATTATTCTTACTTGAGCACCATTGGAACCCCATTTAACCCTGCTCAGAGTCACTCCTGAATGTCTTTGGTGAGCTTCAAGATCTTCTATAATCTGGCTCCCATCCACCTTTCTGGGTTTATCTTCAGCTCTTCTAAATGGTCCCTGTGCTCTGGCAAGTCTGGGTTGCTTGCTGTTGCCAGTTTGGGCTTGACTATATTGATATTATGTTCTTAATAGCTTACAGTGTTTCTTCTGTGTTTCTACTGGAGTGTTCTCTACTTTTTCTTCAGCTTTATATGTCCTCTCCTCCAGGCTGCGATGCATGGCTTGTGCTGGTTATATCCTGCCCCTAGAGTACTTCTCAAGGGAATTGAGTTATGACAGACATCCAGGGTATCCTCTTCTTCATGTGTACCTGCAGACTGCATTCTGATTCACACTGAGGCACTGTATGAGCCAGCCTGCCCTGAGAGGTACTTAGTGACATGCTCCCTGAATTCAGTGCCAGTGAGTGTCTTTCTTCCATTTTGTGAAATCCAGTAGCACTATTTACTGTTACTATTATGTACCCATGTAACCATTCTGGTGATTTTATAT